TTAAAATTTTACTCAGAGCATATTAATAGTTTTAAATATTCAAATCCAGTGGTTATTATACTTCCTGTTGCAAATCTTCTAAATTTTCAGTTTCTCTCACATATTTTAAGTTAACAAATGCCTTCAGTAAGAGTTCTACCTTCTCTAGCTGCTAATTCCACTCTTCCTCAATCCCTGCTTTACTCAAGTTGCAGCATGAGTCATGACTATCATAACAGCTCTCCCGCAGATGTCCATCCTCTAGCTTACACTCTTCCTACTCTCATTCTCCTACTTTTAAACGTTTAATAGATTTTCATAGTAAACTCAATCTTCTAATATTGTTTCCCATATGATGTCCTCCATAATCTTCCTAAGCTTCATTAATTCTTTATTTCCCAATGCTTTCATAATATTTTATTCATAGCCCTTATATACTGAATATAATTACCTACTTGTATCATCCCTGCTAGATTGTGAATTCATTGAAGACAAGGAATGTATCTTGTTCATTTTATGTCACCCAATCTAATAATGCTTTATCAAAACAAAAACCAAAACCAAACATCAAGATCCATCAACAACAAAAATGTAGGCATTTTCATCACTAATTTCAAAGTTCGAGTCATAACACAATGACATTTGCAAACGATTGATTCCTTATACACAAGCAATGAAAATCATAATACATATGTGCAGAAGCAGTGCCATTTCCTATATATAGAAGCACATACCATAAAAAATGAGGAAATAATATAACGTTACCAGAATTCATGTACATAAAATCATAAAGCTTGACTTAGGGACCTGAATAAATGGGGAGAAGTAGCATGTCTTAATATTGAAAGCTTATATTTGAAAAGGTGTTAATTCTTTAAAAATTAATTTATAAATACAATGCATATCGATTCATAACTACAGCAGGAATTTTAAATGGGCTTTGTCAAACTGATTCTAAAATATGTATTGAAGAGAAAAGACGTAAGATTTTGAACAAGAACAACAGAAAACTTTTTCAACTACAACATAGTATAAAGCTAAATAAACTAATTAGAAAAATATGACAGGAACTCAGAAAAGAACAAAGAACCAATTAAACAGAGTCAAATCAATTCCCTAACATATGACCACTTACATTAAGATAAACATATCATTTCAAATGTATGAATAAGGAACTCCTTTTAAGTAAGATGGAAATAATTGTTTAAAAATGTATTAATGTGAGGGGTTCCTGGTGGCTCAGTCAGTTAAGAATCTGATGCTTGATTTCGGCTCAAGTCATAATCTCAGGGTCATGAAATTGAGCCCCGTGTCAGGCTCCGTGGTCAGCAAGGGCGTCTGCTTGAGATTCTCTCTTTCCCTTTACCCTTCCCTCCTCCTCTCTCTCTCTCTCTCTCTCTAAAATAAATAATTAAATCTTTTAAAAAAATGTATTATTGTGAAAGAAAATTAGACCCCCTACTCCATTCTATACAAAAAAATTAATTAGAGGAGGAAGGGCTGAGTAGATAGATGTAAAAACAAAATAACGTTTTAAAAAATGCAATATTTTCAAAATCTTCAGATAGAGAAGTGCTTCTAAGTAAGACAGAATCAGAGAACTAGGAAGTTATAAAAGGGATGACTAGACATATAAATTAAACACCTCTGAATGATGTAATACATCAAAAAGTAAAAAAAAAAATGACATAGTGTTAAGAGAAAAATACTGTAAAAATGTATGCTACAAAAATAATTAATATCCTAATACATCCAAAATATATAGGAAAATATAGTAGGAAAAATATCTTGCCCTTTTTCTGTTAGGTTTTTAATCCTTTTGTTTAATCAGGTAATAATTCACAGAAGAAAAAATACAAATAGCAAATGTGTATGAAAAGATGAGCAAATTAACTAGCACTGTAGCAACTTGTCAAAACTCTCAAACTGTCAAAAACTTAAAAAATGCATACAATTCATCATCATGGAGGGGACTAAACCCTCTCATACATGGTTGATGGAGGGCTAAAATGGTAAAGCTTTTGGAATACAATTTGTATTATTTACCAAAAAATTTATACCCTGTGAACCCAAAATTCCACTTGCAGGTATCTATCCTATAAAAATACTTGTATGCACAACAAAAGACCACTCAAGGATCTCATGGCAGTCTTGATTATAATAGTAAAAAATTAGAAACAATGGAATAAAGCTCCCCAGACTAATTTGTAGAAATGAGTCTGAGAACAGAATGCATTTCTGTGCATGAAAAGAAAAAAATCAAACTCTGTGGAAATGTAGAGGAAAAATGGCTGGATTGATACACACCAAATATTGATAATTTTATCTGTGAGGAGGATAAATATGATGGGAAGATATGGAGGAGAGTAAAAGAAATTTTTCACATTGTATTGCTCTTTTGTTTTAATCTTGTACAATTAGAATGCATTCATGTGGTTTTTATGTATTTAAAAAACAACTATAAAAAGAGTACCCAAGAATATGTTTACTTAATTGCACAAAAAATAATAGGCATGAAAGTTTATAGTTTGAATAATTAATAATTAATTACCAATTCATGCAACAAATAAATACTGACACAGTCTTGTGCTTAAGATTAAGTGAGGCAGTAGTTAATACAAAGATGAGACAAAGCCCTATCTTCAATGTTACCCAAAACCCATCAGGGGCTCAGAAAGGGACTGAACTACAAAGTGACAACTGCTACAATACAGATTCATGAGATGTTACCTTATTCTAACTGGAGAAGACAGATTTCAGGCACGGGAGTGAAAGTGAAATTTTTTTTTTTTTTTTAGTGAATAATAATATTCCCAACAGGTAAGAGGGAATGGGAGTGGGAAGGAATTTCACATAATGGGCAAAGTCACTCTGACTTGAGGTCATGGGCTCTGCTGTGCCAGTGTTTGCTGTTGAATCTCACCTCTGCCCCTCACTTAAAAGCTGTGCAACCTTTAGCTAAATGACTTAACCCCCCTTAACCTCTAGAGTAACCACATCCATTCCAAGGGTTTACTGAGAAAATTGCACAAGGCCATTCATAAAAGCCTCAGTATAGTACCTGGAACATATGTTTTAATAAATATTTGCTTTTTTTCCTACTTCCTATCTTTAAAGAAGCCAAGAAGAGCATGCTATGCTTCTGAAACTGAAAGAAGGTTGATACAGACTGGTAGCCAAACTATGAAACATTTACTAGGAAACAGTGACCTATGATAACCTTCAACTCCAAGTGCGGGGCATTTGCCTGTATAAATCTGATTTTGTATTTATTCACTTGCATACTAATAGGATAATTATCTCATTATCAGTAAAACAAATTTTAATATATATTCAATGAGATTTGCATATTTTCCTGGTGAATTTGTATAAATGATAATGAAATTATTTACTTCAAATATTTAAGGCTTCCAAAACTGGAATTGAAAGCAATGTTCTGTCTTAGTCAACAAGGAATTTAATTTTTGAAAAAAAAATTCATCCACCATTATTAAATAAAATATTCCATTAAAAAATAATTTAATGCAGATGAGTCAAAGATCCCCTCCTTTCAATTTTCATATGCCCTCCAACTTTTGTACATTTACTACTTACATGCTTTCTCACCATCATTTCAAATCCAAAAGAATTCACATGAATATATATATATATCAGCAGTAATAGTAATTTAATTAATTAAAATAATTAATTTAATTATTATAATTAAAGAACCAGGCAATATAGAAAGACTGATGGGATTTGAAATGGTCGCTCATGTGAATACATATAATGAAAGAGCTAACATCATTGGGCTCTGTAGCCAGACTATCTGGACAAAGCTCTGGTCCTATCAATTACTAGCTGTGTGACTTTAGGCATGATACTTGACCTCTCTGAGCCTCAGTTCCCTTACCTATAAAATGGGAATAATAATAATACATATCTACATAGTTCATAAGGTTGTGAGAATTAAACAAATTGCTATGTGTACAACAGTTAGAACAGTGTCTGGACCCTTGTGAGTGTTTAAGTAGCTGGTGGTATGAGGTCTCTTCTAGTTCTCAAACCTTTCCTTGTGGTGCTCTCAACATAATTCTCTCTTTTTCCTGCTTCTCTTTCAATGCAATGTTACATTAAGTACACTGTCTTACTGGCTTTCTGACCTTTTTAAACTTCTACGTCAAAGTAATCTTCATGTCATACTGAATACTCAGAGTCTTCATATCTTACTGTAGAGTCAAAATTACATCTTACTCATTACCTCCATACATTGCTATCTTGGTGGACCTTCCTCTAGCAGTATTATTTCTAAATTTTTGCCCAATAACATTGGATTATTAAAATTAAAACTGCACTTGGATGTGAAACAATTCAAAATACTAAAAGGACTGAGTTTATTGTACTGTTTAATCTCAACAATGAGTAAATAGCTTGGGTTTATAATCAACATTATTTTAAAGAAATAATTGTTTAGTGACTATTCAAATAACTCATTTTCACATTATAAATCTAATGATGAAAATAATGTAAATATTACTATAACAAGTACAACTAAAGTCTTCTGCTCTAAGACTGATATACATTTTGTCCAGAACAGCTTTACTCCGTGGAATATTTATTTCTGTCTTGCAGCACAAGCTTCTCATAATGAATCACATTCAAAAAACATTAAAAAAAGATATACGAGTATATGTTAGGGAAAAAATTGCTGTTGCTTGAAGGTATTTTCCATCAAAAATTAAATATGGCACAATGGCCATTTTGTAGAGTTCATTAATGAAATTGGGAAGGGATTATTAATCTCCAGTGTTGAATTGAACTTACAGTGAAAATTGATCAAGCTTCTCCGGACTCAGAAATACCCTATGGCTACTATTGATCAAGAGTTTGGGACACTGATTATAATTCATATCCAAAAACAAAAAAACATGAGATAGAAATTGTTCTTAAAAGGCTTCTTATTCAAAACATACAATATTTAGCTTAATAGAGGAAGCCTTACGGACATCAGTTTTCTTGTGAAGATCCACTGGAAAACATACCTGGCCAGGCTGAAGGCATCGTCAATCAAAGCCGCTCTGTTACTGACAGAGAGAACCTATGAGATCAACCAGGAAAAAAAAAAAAAGGGAATCAGGATTAAAATGGCAGGTGTTCACCTATCGAAACAGATCTTTGATGAGTAAATCCAGTTTACCTCATGGTTCCTGATTAACTGATCAATTAATAATCTCCAATTCCTTAAATCATAGTTGACTCTAAAATAGCCAGTTTGATTGATATTCCCCAGCAACCAGCTTCCTTTGTCCCAAGTTATTCTGTGGTGCTCTGAAAACAACATTTTTTGGAGTAAAACAGATTTTAAATTTATGGGTTAAAATGAGATGAAGTATATTTTCTAAATAATAGATATTATAGTACCAATAATTAAAAGAGAACACCATCATAAATACCTAATTGAAATCTACTCTTTAATTAGTTCATCACCGTATCTAGAAATCACTAGAAAACCTTTAGTTGGTTACCCATTATTACCTCAATTAATTGTTTTCTTATAATTAACATTTTTTGTTCTTGATAAAACCCCATTGCCTATATACAATGTCCTTCTCAAGATAAATGTCACCAAGACATCTCCTGTATTTATGTGCTTCTAATTAGATTGTATTTAAATATGGGGCTAGAATAGAAGAAAAGGTTTTAGGTACACATTCTACTTATTTTATTCAGTTAAGAAAGTGATTAAAACAACAGGGCTCATTTATTTTAAAGTCACTATTGTTTCTTGCCTTTTTTCTTGTGCTTTTTTGGAAGTACTAATAAATAGCAGACTTTCCAGCATCATCAATAATGTTGGAAAAAGGAAACTCATTTGTTTAAGACTCTAATATTTCTACATATAATTAGAACAAAGATAATAAATTCTGTTTATTGGAATCACTTCGGAAAATGGTAACTTGATTATATTCCCCAGCTAATTCACTTAAAGGAAGCCAGTAAAAACAATCTTATAACTTATATATTTAACTCCTTCAAAATATGGTACAGATGGAGAACTCCATTCACCTTAATGGCAGCCTCTGTTGACTTCACAGAACCATAGCTTACAATTCTAATCATTTCGTGGATGTCCTCAGGACTCATGGTTCGTAGAAGTTATGAAATGTATTAAGTTTACTTAAAATTTATATTTTACACACACACACACACCCCACACACCGGGACACCTAATTTCCACAATGACTCAAAACCAGAAAATGCATCACAGAAATCCATTTGTGTCAGTTCTGAGTGAGACACAAAATCTCCAATTCTCACCTTGTTATCAAGGTTTTTTACACATCAGGCTACAAAACAGGTTTTCTTTTTCTTTCTCTTTTTGAAACACTGACTCTATAGTCTCTCTCAAGTAGAAGCCACACAGGAAGCGGGTGTGACCACAAAAATCACTGGGTGAACATTAATGACTATTAATTGCTGAAATGAGGTAGGCTCTGAAATGGGGTGGGCTCCTTAATCTAACACCTGTTACATTTTGCCAATTTTTATAAATGTACAGTAAAACCAAAAATGTATGCTGAACATAAAAATCTAATCTTTAATGTTTCAGATGGTATGTCAGCTTTTTGCCACTTTTATAAATAGTATCTTGGAACATTTAAAAAAACAAGGCTCAGACAGGTTAATCGAATTGTCCAAGAAAGCAGGAAATGGTCCGTCTCAGGTCTCCTGACTTGGGTGTCCTTTTTACTACATTATATTCTATTGATACAAGATGGTATAGCACTTTTACTGTAATATGGTATATATTTCTCACATTCTTATATTGTTTTGAAAAAGAGGGACACAGCATTGGAAATAAGAATTAGAACAGGAGCAGGATAGTTAGATTTTTGTTCCAGTTCTCCTACACGTAAATGTTTGAATTTAGGCCACTCATATAATCTAAGGGCCAACTAATAAATAGCATTTAAGGTCCCTTCCAATTCTATGACTCAGTAGAAGAAGGAACTGTTTTCCTCTGGGTGAAATTTTACCAGGCTTCATCTCTGGTACTTAAAAAAATAGATCTATCAGATATTGCTCTAAAATATTAATAGTTTCCCAATTTTCTGATACTTTGTTTTTGTATATTTTTCAAAACTTTAATGTGCTTATCTACACAATTCCTTTGAAGTTTTGGAATGTCACCCCATTTTACAGATATAAAAATAAAAAATAATTAACAAAAGAGAAGACATTTTAAAAAACTAAACCATCTGAAGAGAGATTTCAATTCAGTGAAAAAAACTAAGATTAAAATATTGAGGATACTGTTTCTCTTGAGTAATCCTAACTCTATCTTCAATAATATGAGGATTTTTATCACAACACATATTGTGATTAAATTCACTTGGGTTAGGTGCTTGCTTTGGCAGCACATACACTAAATTCACTTGGGTTAAGTGTAAATTTGATCATTTTCATCTAAGAAGTGGTTATTTTTTGAAGAAATTATAATATTCAAGAATCAAGTTTAATATATGAATACATGATTTATGTTTTTACAATTCTGAAACAGTCATGGAATCCTATGATATTAAGTCTATTTTTTAAAGTTATTTCTTGTTCACATTTTAAAGAGCTGGCACAATTTAACCTCATGTGATACACTTGGCTCTAAATGGGTGACGGGCATTAAGGAGGGCACGTGTTGTGATGAGCACTGGGTGTTATATGTAAGTGATGAATCACTGAATTCTACTCCTGAAACTAACATTACACTGTATGTCAACTAACCGGAATTTAAGTAGAAAATTGAAACTACAAATAATAAAAAAATAAAAAATAAACTTATTGAATTCAACAACTTATAGGTAGAAGAGAGACAAATTAAAATAGGAAAACAATCCCTATACCTTCTATTTCATCGGAGAATAAAAAAGGCAGGCATCTATTGTTTTTGAGTATGTTATTATTAAATTGATAACTAAAACCTGAAGGTTATTACTGTTCATGCATATTTTTATGCCTTTGTTATAAATGAAATCTTTGGAGAAATGATTCCCTGAAAGATTTTGTAATAGATTTGTAAATGTCTTTTTCATTCTAGCTAATTATATCTTTAAAATGTTCTTCAAATTAACTAATGGCAAGCAATGAATTCTAAAGAGACCTTTTCCAATGGCCTAATGAGGTATGGTATGTGATGAGTACCAATATAAAAAGTATGGAAGTTATATTTTCAATGTTAGTAATAATAACTTAAAATTGTATGTAGAATGTATCCAAAATGGCACAAAATTTAGATTATATCAAGGCACAGAGTCCTTGGAATTTTATAATATTTTGGTTTTATATTCTATACTTTCCAAATAAAAAGAGGAAGATTAAGCCTTTATCCTCAGTATTGGCTGGTTGCAGAAAAATCAGAATTTAAAACAAACAAAAAGCCAACCAAAGTAACAAGGGTAGCAATGTAAAACAAACTCAGGTATAACACATACTGGTTTTCTCACTGGACTTGTGTGAGAATCAAATTAGAAAATGCTCTATAGCACCTATAAAGAACTATGTGTATGAATACAATGGCAACATGTTGAGTAATTGGCATATCAGCAAAGCAACCTACCAAAATTTTAAAATCTACGTGTGTGTGTGTGTGTGTGGTTTAGAGGGAATACATTTAGAAAAGAAAACCAAGCTCCTAAGACAATTTATGCAAGTTATGTCTCAAGCCTTAACTTCCTCATTTGTAAAATGGGGATTAAAAATAACTCATTCTAAAGGCTTACAGGTCTTATATAAGCCAATGCTTAAGGCAAGCACTATATCATTACATTATTTTTAATGTTAATTTGTAATTTCAGCATCAATTTCCTTTTATTTTGAATCTTTTCTTTCCTAACATTTGGCATTAAATTTATTCCCTTCCATTACACATTCATTGTCACCATACAAGCTGTTATATTTATAAACATCTGCATTCTCAGTATCTCAGTAGTAAAAACGAAAAAGATAAATCCTTTTACCTGCTTTCAGTAATTTAAAAGTTGATTTAAAAACTATTTTAGGCTAGAATGAACTATACCTTAACTTGGAATTAATTCGATATTCATCCAAAGGGTTTAAAAAATGGAAGTGTCAAGAGTATATGATGATTCAAATCAAATTTATATTATTCACCATGACTGTGCTTTAATACCTGGTGAGATCAAATCTATGTGACTGATAATGAAAAATTATAAAAACATTGATCTTATTGTTGTAACTAAAAGGTGGACTTTTAAAATACAATGTTGATTAGAATTGACCAGAATATTTTCTTAATGTTTTTATGGAAAAAACATTATTGATATTATTATTGATATTAGTTAACTATATTTTTTATTTTGATTGATTTATTTACTTTTAAAGAGAGGGGTAGGGGGAGAAGGAGAGAATCTCTACCAGACTCTCTGCTGAGTGCAGTGCCCAGTGCGGGGCTTGATCTCAAGACCCTGAGATCATGACCTGAGCTGAAACTAAGAGTTGGACGCTTAACCGACTGAGCCACCCAGGTGTCCCTAGTTAACTGTATTTTGAAATAAGAGAGAGAGAGAGGTAATAACACATGAAAGGAGACAAGAGTTAACAATCTTTTCTTTCCCCCTAGTCTGTGCCTTGTGTCAGTTTTTTATTTGTCATCATAATGAAGGGATTTAAGACAAAACTAAAGCCAGAATGAGACTGAACAGGGAAAACAGAACGGTTGTCTTTCTTTTAGGTCCCTCTTGGCAGCTTCTTCCAGATTTACATATTTATAAAGTTTTCAAGAAATATTTACTTGGTATGGGCATTCTCCACAAAAGCTTCAACACTTCTATCGGGACAATGTTCCATCAACCAGAAGGCTCTGCTGTGATTTAATGGAAACTGACACACCGTAGGTGGCACAACTCAATTATCAGAGTCAATGTAAATATCATCTCCCAGAGTCATGCACTGCACACACTATGTAGTGAGCATGACATTTGTATTAATATAGGTGACATTTTAGGCAAATGTATGCTTTGAAATACCGTGTTGTTATTATTCCTGATTAATAATGAGAGACTACAAATGGAAACAACCTCTCAAATACACCTGTGGTTATTGGTCAAGAAAAGCTGTGACACTATTCTGCGTACTCTACGTGAAACAAGAGGATACCCTGAATAATAGCAGACAAATAACTAAGGAGATAGAGGAAATGGACATGGGGAAAACATTGACGAAGTATCAGACTTGCCCTGGATCCACTCTCTAAAAGTGACATTTTGGCCTGATCCTGACTTTTAATCAGTATCTTTGCACCCTTGTAATTGTCCCATTTCCATTGTACCCCCCAATGAGAAATGTTTTACTTGGTTTCTGAAGATTGTTCTATTTCATGTTCCTAGCAATCCCATGGAGGATCTAATAGTTAGATCATTAGGTTAATGACTCACTGTTTTCACTCATCATTTCATAACAAATTATGTAGATAAACAAAACAACTACACAAAAGTAAAAGAGCAGTAAAAAAAACCAAATAATACAGTAAGTGAATTAAGAATCATATAAATGCTAACTCTAAGAAATGAAAAGAATAGATTATAATAAGCAATTTTAAAAGGAGAAACACCAATAAATTTTAAAATAAGCATTTTAATTCATCACTACATTACTTATGAATCTTTGATACACAATGTATATAAATAAAAGCACATATTTTCATAATATGTGATTATGTGTTAAAAATACAACAACATGAAAATTTGAATAAAAATTCAACTGAAAATACAAGCATTTATATTTCTGGTATGCAGATTAGATTTTGCTATAAGAACTTTTTCTTGTATATATGTATTTTGAGCACTTATATCTCCCTTATAATAGCAAGACTGAGGGGCAGATACAATGTTTATTTTGTTATTTACTAATTTTAGCTCACTTATTGCAAAAAACAGATTGCAGCTGCTCATAGTGGTTATGAAATAAGATAACATCAATTAACAGAACGCAAGAAAGGAGTAGAAAAAACGTGGACATACTTGACCATCTAAATCTAAATAAAATATTACATAAAAGATGATTAATTGGCTTTTTTTCCAGTTCAATAGAAAACAAAAATTAAAGAGACCTGTTTCACATCTAGCATGAAGGATTTAGATTGGATTCAAGAAATAGCTTTCTGACAGTGAACTGAAATAGGTCGCTATCTTATTTGAAGATATTTAGAAACAAAATAGAATCTCATCTTTTTCTGCTCCTTGAGAGTTGACCCTAGTTTAGGTGATGTTTTGATGACCTATCAAGTCCCCTCCCTTCTGTCCCTATAATTATCTAATTTTATGGAGAATATCGCCTTGTCCATTCTTTAAAGAGCCAGTCTGGCAAAAAACAAGATAGCAGGAAAATGGAATTGAAAATGTGGCCTGTGTTTCATTATTTGGCATACTGTTTTACTGGGAGTTATGATTATAATTTAATTACATTTGGGATTATAAAATGATACAGTTTAAAACAGCTAAAATTAGTACTACAGATGCCTTGTTTTAAATGTTCTCTTTACCATCAATGACACAAATAAACTTAAAAATTATATAGGCAGACTAAAATTAGATTATGTACAAACTATACTATATTATACTTAATTTTGTAGAAGGGATTATCACTCTTTTATATTCTCTTTCTAATTTGTCTTTATTCACATTTTTACAACAGCTGAAACCAGAGGTTAAGTTGCTAAACAATTATCTGAAACCAAATAGTTCCTGAGGGGAGCATATATATTTTACCTGATTTGTTAGTCACCCAAATAATTGCTTCTGAAGACACATGGCTTCTATTTCCCACCACAATAGTTAATGGAATCTGCCAGAGGTAACTGCAAAGTAAAATAGAAGCTTTAAGAATAAAAATGGTTATAACAAATAAACAACATTTGCTATGCACCTTCTGCATGATTTCTATTATTCTCTTTAGGGGAAATAAAAAAATTCCCGTCACAAAAGTAAGGAATAAGTCAAGAAGATGAATTCACTTCTTCAATGCCACTAAGCAGACTTAGCCTGTAAGAGTTTTAATTTCAATACAAAAGGGGGACTTTCAACAAAACAATATTTCTTGCAAAAAAAAAAAAAGATTTGCATTTTACATTACAGAATAAAAAGTAGCTAAAATCAATAAATCAGAGCCACACCATATATTGATTAAGTCTCAAAATAACTCCTTTCTACTTGTTTCTATGTTAAATTAATACACATTTCAGTGGCTTCATGCATTTACATTTCAACATTATCCTTATTTTTTCACATAACTATCCTAATAAGTAGTATTATCACATTTTACAGATAGGTTAATACAGCACACCTAAAGTTACTCAGCAAAGCAGGAATGAAAGGTGAAACTAATCAGATGCCCCTAAAATCCAGATCAATACAAAGAATAGTGTCGAACACACTTAATGCTCTATTTTCTGAAATGAAATTTCCACAATGATGTGTGAAATCATCAACCAATGTTCAGGGATCAGTCATTAGTATCAGCTATTAAAAGAAGCATTTTCTAGAATTTGACTTTTTACAGGGTAAAAATGGAAGCCTATACTTGTACTTGAAGTAGTATCAATTTAATCTCAAATGACTAGCGAGAGATAATCTGGATGGTCTTACAATAAATTCAGTGACTACATTTTGTTTCTTTCCCTGAAGTACAGCCAGATTATGTTGACCTATCATTGCACCATTAACAGCAGGGTAGCCAACAACATTTAGTATGTAAAAAATATTTTTTATTTTATGGAAGAGACACTGTTTGAGCTCTGTAATTGGGAAAGTAAACAGAGAATTGAGAATTTTTCAGGAAACGTATCCGGGATTATATAATTACAAACATAATGAATATGTTTTGGGGGGCATGGGAAGAGAGGGCATCTCCTCTAAATCTGTTACATGGAATTTGATTATTTTATCACTTCATTTCTCATTCACAAGAAACACAAATCAGTAATAGTAACAAATCTAAGTGGAAGAGTAGAAGAAATTAATAATTTTACACTAGTGGCCATCTACAATATGTAAAGTTAAAATAATATGTATTAATCAGCGAAATATTTTTGAGTGCCAACTATGTAGAGACACTAAGCTATACCACAGTGGAATCCACACAGTTGGTCAGGGAATCAATAACCTATAGTAACCAAATGTATTGTTTTTAAAGTAGAAGTAAATGAACATAACCCACTTAAGCTCTTTATCAAAGACCTCCAAGCTCTTAACATAATACTAAGAATATGGCAAATATTTAATAATGGTATTACTGTGAGGAAGACAAAGAGAATTGATATATATTTCTTTAACAGCTCTTCTCTAAAAATAACGACTCTTCTTTGATTAATTGAAAAAATTAGTTAAGAGACAATAATGCTTGACTATGCATCTGACTCTCAAATTATTATCTATGAGTTCATATTTGTAAACCTAAGATCTTGAAGAAGCCTAGAAATGGAAGGCATTCCAGAAATTGCTGTTGAATTGGATCAAACAGGATTAGACCAAAGTAAAATGAAAGGAACCAAATCAGTCTATGGGCAAGACAGAGATTAACCTTATGAACTTGACTTTCTGGTACATATCTTCCACACTGAGTTGGGTCAACTAAATTGTGAAGTCAAATAAGTATCCGTTAAAGGGCAAGAAATATACAAAATTGATGATGTTTAAAAATCCTCAAGGATAAATGTGTCTTTTTAAAGCATGATCATAAAACGTGAAATATTACTTGCCCCTAATATAAATAAGTACACTTTTGCATTTATTTAAACTGTATTCTTCTAAATAGTGGAACTAGAAATGATGATAACATTTCTATGGTATGCTTCAATATTTGAGTTTTAGCAAAAGTCTCTACAGTACAAGAAAAAGAGATTCATATGGATACCTGCATGTTGTTTACAGTCAATGCCACATCCCTATGGGAAACTTCCTACATGGCAGACACTGAATCACACAGCTGTTCAGATGCAAAAGAGTTAACTATAAGGTACTGGGGGGATACAAACACTCGGGCATTTTGTAAAACTTTTGAAATAGTCTTCTGGGTATTTTTCCCAAGAATGTTTTTGTTCTCTCTGCATCTGTGTGTGTGTCTATGTCTGCACGATTGTGTATGCACACAACTAAAATGTATATATTGTCACAAAAACAAAATAAAAATGACAAATTCATTTCTGAATTGCTATACTATTGATCCTAGATGTTATTTTTCATAACTTTCCAAACAACACATATTTGATCTTTTCCTAAATTTCATTTCAAAAATCAAAGAAAGCACGTTGCTTTATGGTTACAACTTAAAAGGGTGGAAGACACTAAACACTGCTGAGTGAAGCATGGTGTGTTATAAAGAAAATCTCAGACTGCGGTGGGTTATGTTTGAAAAAAAGATTAGGAAAAAGAATTTGTGAATTAGATTGTGTTCCAGCTACCTAAGTTTAATTTTAGTCATCTCACTTTAAGCAGAAAAAAAAACAAAAACAAGCACAAAATGCATTTCAATAGACCTTTAAGATATTTTTTCTGTAATATTCCCTGGGGTTATCTCTCTCTCCATAGTTCATGTTTTTATAATAAAGCAATGTTTATCCTGATAATCATGTTAAGGTAGAAAATAATAGGTACTTATTTTAGCTTGAGTGAAAATTCTTTTTTGTAAAATGGTACCCATATCAGTGAAACATTAATGTAGATACCATGAACTCTACAGAAGTTGCTGTCATCAGGATGATAGCAAAAGGAAAATATGACTGTGGAGATAAATACAATTGTCTGTAGAACAGGACTCTGAGAAACTCCGTAAGTGGATGAGGAGACATTGCTTAACATTGCAATGTATTAACTTGATAAAGAAAAAAAGCTAGACAAATTCAGAACTTCCAGAATACCTAAATTCTAGCAAATACCTTATTCACTTTTACATATCACCTAACTCTATGCAATTATTAGTTATATAACCATCTTTCTATAGAAAAATGTAATTACTATATGCATTAAAAATGTTCTGGGCATGTTGTAGTGATGTTCTAGTATCCTTTACAAAATTCAGGACAAAGAATTGATGATACTGGCTCAGAAAAGATCCACAATTCGTGGGATTTCTGGTATCGGTGGGCACTGTTTTACTGCATCAACAGCTTGTACTGTATAATAAAGACCTAGGAAGGCTACATACAAAGGACCGATAGAATTGGTATTGAAGCTCTGACCACAATGTTAGAGTGAATAAAATTGATCAATAAGATACAATTGAATACTAAATTTTTAACTGCAAGCTCTATTATTTCAAAATAGATAGAAAATAATTTTCGAGCTTAAAGGGACTCCATACATTATCTTACTCTTAATATTTTATATGCCAGGTTCTCAGGGTTCAACATTATCCATATGATTTTACAACTCTAGCAAAAGCAAAGCTCTATTCAAGTTACGTATGCTTATACAGCCTGGGAGAAATTCTGCCTTTAAAGAGTCAGACTCATAGCTGATACATCTGATGCGTGTTATAGGCTGACACTGTATTTTTGTTCAAAATTTGTTCTGTCATTTGCAGGTCCTTTATGTTTTTCTGCATCAGTGATGTTTGTGTCAAACTGATCATTCTCAAAGGCATGGCCTAAATCTCTCTAACTTTGCCACAGTCAAGTAGTTTTTATGTACTTCCTGGCAAGGCTGGAGTTGATGCCTAAGCAGGTTTAGCCCTGGGCCAGAGGGTGGAGAATCAGAGGCAGCATTTGGCAACTGTGCGGAACCCGGGCTGGGTAATACAGAAGCGTTGACAGACAAGAGTCAGATCATGACAGTGCGGCAGGGTAAGACTACATTCCATTGGTTGAAACAGTTGACTTGCAGGGGCGGTTTGTCCAAAGCCAATGTATCTATTGACCAGGAGATTTAAGACAATGCTTTCTAAAGGACATTCCAAATTCAGTCATCGTTAAACATTCAGGAATTTCTCAGTCACTTCTACCTATAGCCCATCTGGGAGCTAGCCTACTTGGGAACGATTTCCATCCCTCTTAGAGATTAAACCAAAAACAATTCATGCTTCACACCTCCTAGATATTGGTGGACGATAAAGTCAGAGTCCTAATATGCCAATGTAATGGGAGATAGCATGACCAACCTAATCCAAACACTTCATTTTATTTATTAATTTTAAATTCCATCCCTTCTGTCCCCTCCCTCTCCAATCTTTTCTTAGGGCACCTTTTAAAAAATGAAATGAACTGATTTAAACTGCATTATCTTTCTTTGGCTCAGCCTTTAATAAGACACCATACAGTAAGAAAACATGAAGTAGAAAAGAAACACTATATGTTGTTTTCAGTAATTAAATAAGAGTTTCAAAAGAAAGTTTAACAACAAATAAAAATACTATGTATGTTGTCTGTTCAGTGGTTTTACACACAGAAAATGAGGGAGGAGAACATATTTTGATGCTAAGTAGCATTGATACTTAGACCATTTAAAAATAGATCTACTTTGAGTTCCTTTGGCTCAGATACTAGTCTAGTAGTAGTTTTTGTTTGTTTTAATTAGTCTTTCTGGAGTGTAAGTTTCTATTCTCATCTATTTTATAAATCTCATTTTGCTCCATTCCATTTAATTGACTTCACTACATCTTAACTTTCTTGAATTTAATTCAACAAACATTCACAGGGAAAAGTAAAAAAAAATCACATAATTTTCTAAATCACCATGATAATTTAAACTCTGCTTAAACAAAATAACTTTGGTGTGCTGTCACTTTGATGGTTAAAATATCTGGAAATGGGAGTAAATGAGGAATCAAAATGAAAACACCATATGTAAATAAAAAAATGAAAACCATATTTCACTTACATTTTATAATTGTGCTAGCAATCTTTTTAAAATGTTAAAAATGCAAAGTGAAACCCAAGAAAAAAAGCAATTGTTTTTTCATGTAAAAGAGTGTTGTACCTGTTATTTTGAAGTTCAGGTGCTTTAGTTTTAGCACTGATGTCATAAATAAAGTGTTGTTGGGTAATTATTATTCTATTTTCTGCTGTTGAATTTCCCAAGATGGTGATAACAGGATAACCCATCTGGAGTGTCCACTGATCCATTACTTCTTGTATATTTACAAACTTTCCATTCCGTTTTAAAGCCTTTATAACCCAAATTGTATAAATTAGTTTTATAAACATGAATTATAAACATAATTAACGTTAAACCATTTTTACTTTTAACCTTTATGATTTACTTAAGGATGAAAACATGTAAAATCAGTGAAGCTACTATAACGTGTTAGTAAAATTAATCTCCTTGCCTTAAATTAAGCTTCATGCATATATAGAGAAACGAAAGCTTTATTAGCATTAAAGTTTTTACTTAATGGAAGATAAAAGAGAGTTGATTGTTAAAACAAGTACTTCTGGCACCATTAAGTATCCCCAGTATGTCCAGTACCAAATTTAAATATTTGTTATTCACCTATAGAAAAAATTATTTTAACATCAATATTTCTCTCATACATGAATATCTGACACAATATGAATGTTATATTTCAGAAGTATTGTCTTGTTTGAAAGTAGGCAAGGTACTTTTTACTACCATTTGTAGTTTAAGTAGTTTTAAACCCCATTACTTTTATAATATATCAAAAATAAAATGATAAAGCGATATGAGAAAATATAAAAAGTAAAAACATCTGTTAGTGTCAATAAAAGTTAAGAATGGTTTATAAACTCAATTCAAATATTCAAGAGGAGGTTTCGGTATTCGAGCTTCCTATACTTTACCTCTGATAGTGTATTCCAGAGATCATTTCTGGCTGCATTGCCATACTTATGAATGGTTAAATAATCCTACAAAGAATATAAAATTATAATTACAATTTGGAGGCTCAGCAATTTCCAACACACACACTTATTTCTCAATTCAATTAATTTCTATTTGTTAGAATTTCATTAATATGAAGACAAAGAGAAAGACGTGGAAAAAGATGAAGAATCTCATTTTAAAATATCCCAAAGAGCTTTAACGTAACATATTTCTTAACTCATCAAACAATGCTGGTCTTTTAAAAATTATTTTCATAACCATAATCACTCCTTATGGATTTCCAGGGTCAAAGACCTTCCTTTAATTTAACAAATCAACCTCAGGCAATTTTAAAGAAACTACCTCTGCAGTGAAACATTTAGGAGAAACTTCCCCATCAAGCCTTCCTGTTGAAGCGTTGAAAAAAATAAATTCTGTTTTATGGAAAAGAAAAAACAACAACAGAAACCCGACTGATATATGCTGATGTGAAGAGGAATTGCTTTGCTGAAAGAGTGATGACTGTCTGCACAAGCTGCCTGGTTCCCTAGTCTCTCTGCAAGGGACAGGCTGCCTAATACAAAAAAGGATACATACTTATTTCCATGAGCTTGAAACACATATTAATACTTAATTAATACTTAATAAGAAATAACACATATTAATACTTAATAAGAAAAAAATAAATCCTAAATTTATTTAATATTTTTGAGTGTAGGACTTCCCATTTCCCAGTTTCCACCATTAGTAGTTAAACCTACACACTTTCTATCTAACCTCATGCCTGCTCCCTTCTACAAAGCATGGTTTATGTCACTGTGGATATGTGATTTGGTTACAGCCAATTGGTGTTATTCCTTTTCTGAATCCAAAATGGAAAAACGAATAGAAAATAGTGTTTTATATTATAAAACAGAGGGTCTCCTGCATTTGAAATTCCATCATCTCTACATGTAGGTAGTAGACAAAATCCAAATTTACATCACAATACTGAAAATGAAAAAAATTGCTGACTCTTTTCAGTACTTTGTGTAGAGTAGAATACTTTGGGGATAATTAAACTTGGTGAAGAAATTTCTCTGAAATACAAATCGTAGCACCTGTGACAGATTCAGCTTTGTTGGCAATTCACAGCACAGCAAATGGCAAATGCCACCTAATCAGACTCTAAAGATGCAATTCCCAACACTAACTTAGCAACCACAAATTCATCATCGTCACTGGGGATTATGAATAACTTTATTGAAAAAAATACAACCCCAAATAACCAATCTGAATTCCACTTTTGGCTTTGAATATGCCATGTGAGTCATTTTCCATTAGAACTCGGGGACCAGGATTTAAATAAATTATTTCAGATTTAACTGTCAGCATTATCTTTCATGCTTTTTTAGCACCTAAATGAATAAATCTGGGAACAATAGGAATTATGAAACACAGATTTGAGTTTTATTTTAGTAATGTGATAAGACAAAAAGTATCAACAGTAGAACTATTTATTTATTGGGTTTGCCTTATGGATAGTGCTGCTAGGATAATCCCAAAGAGGAAACAAAGGAATACTCCATGGACTTTGAAAGGTCCGATACCCAACTACAGGATTCTCTTCACAGACAGATCATAAAAATCCAACTGTTCATGATATGAGTTGGCATTGGCCCGACATTGGTCATCAACTCAAGCTCTTGGTTCCCTCCCCAATTCAGAACAAAGTTCAAATTTACACTTCAAGCAGGCTGAAGTGGCAATTATCTGGCCTTAGGAAAGCAGCTCCAACTTGCTCACCTCGAAAGTCAGGGCAGAGAGCATCTTCTTGGATTCCCAGCAGTCCCAGTTTTCAGGTGTTACTGGAATTCTACATAAGTCAATTCTTGTTTTCCAAAAACAGAGAAAACCCCAAGTGTTTTCCTTAGTTATCTTAGCCTTCCTCTTGCATAAAAATAGTCATATTTTAAGTGAAGGAAATTGTGTTTTGTCCTTGTTGAATTACCAAGAAACTTACAGAATAGTCAATGTGGTTTTTCTGATAATCAATCATTTATTTATTCATTCATTCCACAAAATGTATGGTGTACTTTGCATGTGCCAGTAGCTTTCAGGTGCTGGGGGAACGGCGGGGGAGATTAGGTTACTGAGAACAAGGACAGACACTGAAATGGGATTTGTGGAGGACGGTTTCTGTGACTGAAACTCTAGAAGTCTTGGTAGAAAAACTACTTGACAAGATGAATTGAAACATTTGCTATGCAATTAAATAAGAAGATTTTAAGTTCCTTTCAAGCCTACAAGTCGATGAATATGAAAATGGCTGGAGTTATGAATCCGAAATGGAAATTTATGTTTATATGTATGTGTATGAAAGTCAATCAGCAGTGGATTTGACATTATGATATAAAGTAGAAGAATATTTTAATATTAACTATACAAAGAATTTCAGAAATAAAGGAGTTGTTGAAAAGAAAAAAAAGATGACTACTAGAATATTCTTAAGGAATGAAACCAACATTATAAACTGATTAAAAGTCAAAGGTCTATTTAGCAAAAATATATTCTCATCCATAAAGTACAAGAAACAGAGTCTGACTGCCTTTGTCCAAATCTGCACCCCAATACTTCCTATCTACCTGATTTTGGCAAGTTGCTTAATTTCTTTGGGTATGAAAGTACCTGTTTCACAGAGTTATGTTAAGGAATAAGTGATTTAATATCTGTACAGTATTGGAAGAGTCAGGAGTGTCTAGTACACAGTAAGTATTCAGCAGACATCAGCTGCCATATCTTTTTAATCATTTCAGGCGACCAGTTGGAAACAGAGTGACAGAAGGAAAAGCATCACTGACAATAATAACCAAAGAACAGAACTCATGAAAACAATATCTGCCTCTGAGTTGCTTTATTTTATCTCGTTCAATCCCATGACATTTATGAGGTAGATATCACCATCATCATCATCTAATAAATCAGAATACGGGAACTCAGAGACGCCAGCCCACGTCCAAACTCTGTACCTGTGCACACAAGTCCTGACCCAAATCCAATGTCTGCTAGATGCCCCACAGACAACTAAGAGCCATGTTCGAAGCTGAAGCCACTGTCCTCCCCCACATCAGCTCCTTTTGGCAGTCCTTCCCCAGTGATGACCTTCCATCCATCTCAACCAAGCAGTCCCCTTGGGTGCCTCTCTTTCCCTTTCCACCACATTCAAGTAATGACCCACATCGTAAATCTTCCATCCAGGTTCCCCTTTCCTTCCTCCTATTTGACAGCCCCTCGGGATGACTAGCATGGCCACTGCTTCTGCTCTGTCCCTTTCATGTCGTGTCTCTGCCGTGCAGCCAGAAGAGCTTTCATCAAATGCACACATGGATCCCTGCTGCATTCAGAAGCAGTGCGAACACTCTAAATGAATGCTCCTTCTGTACTTCTGTGATCCCGTCTCTTACTCTGTTGCCCCCTGCCTCCGCTTAGCCACTTCCTGCTCTCTGCAGATGCCTGTGCATCCTCTCTCCCTTTTCTAGTCCCCTGAACGAGCCCTTCTCCACATATGCTTTTCTCTCTTACCTACTTCAAGTCCATTCAATCTCCAGGAGTCAGGCTTGATACATTCTTCCCAGGAGTCCTTTCTTGGCCATTCCCACCCCTTCCTGAGTTACATACCCCTCTTATATTCTCATACGTTGCACCATATGAGAGCATCTATCACACTGTGTTACAACTGCTTGTTCATCAGCTTGACTGCCCACGTACTCTGTAAACTCCATGTGAGTAAAACCCCCGTTACCCCTGTTGGCCACTGTTGAGCCAGCATCTATGTGCTCAGCCCGGTACACAGCAAATGCCGAATGTATTTGTATGATTTTTGACTTGCCTTATTCAGTATGCCTTTCTGTTAACAACCAACAATCCTGTCAAGAGACGTTTCTCGTACCCATCAGATTCCTCCAAAATGTCGTATTTAAACACTAACATAGGACATAATTTATTATTTCAGTGCATATATGTCAGCTATATAACTTGCATCGATATGTGCAATTGCATATGATGTCATTGAAAGACCGAACTATTGGGTAGGAGACCATTTTTATTTTACTTTCTTTGCTAATAAGTGACATGATCCACAATTTTTCATGTACAAAAGCCAATGGGACTAATAAGTAAAAAGGAGAAAAGGAAAAAGTGAGCTGAGGAAGTAAAGCTCTATTATCTTTTTACATGTTTACATGGAATAATTATACTCTCCTAGTAATGAGCCCCTTAGCATGTTAAAACAGAGGACTAACTGCACAAAGGATGTATTCCTCAGGACATGAAAGGACAGTTTAATAAAATCCAAAGATATATAGACTGGTTTATTTGTGTTTAGCTGCAAATTATAAAAAATCCACCCTAGAATGCCCTTTATAATGACAAGATTTATTCTTTCCTGTTATAAGAAGGTAAGACAGCTGCAGCTCTTTTTCTCCAGAAATTGTTTGGCCTCACCTTTACTTGTGTTTTCCCTTCATGCTTGAGTCTGAGGCTGGATGGGACAAGCAATCCCAACCATCACATTCAGACAGGACATTGTGCAGAGGAAAGAGACAGAATTTCTTCCCAAGAATCTCTTTTTAAGAATCAGGAAAACTTCCTCTCAGTTCCTGCATCAAACTCTCTCTGTTTTCCATTTGTCAGGATTGTATCATGGGCTCCAGCCAAAATGCTGATGAAGTTCCAGGGGGTATAGTTTTGGGGACTGCACAAGGCAGGCCCAGTCCTGTGTTCCCTCCATTGACGTAAGAGAGTCAAGTCTGGGCCTCCGTGACACTGGCAAGTAGGAGGCCTTCTACTCGAAGGCTAGTCTGGGAAATACCAGGTAAATCCAGGCATTGATTTTTCTGACTATGTGACGAGAAGGTTGAAGCAGGGATTTGAAATATTGTTCCTTTCTAGTAAGAATAATTGATTATCAAAAAATGTGTAGTGGGCATTTGTCATTCTTTTGGCTTTCCAGCATTTAAATACCACGCTTATATGGGGGCAATAACTCACCATGGAATCCTGCAGA